TATTTGTTTTATTGGCCAAACTTAAAAAAATGGCACCATCTGATAAAAAACAGTAAAAAAATAAAAATTTGAAGCCTTGCCATCAGAATTAAAGCCTCTTAACAAAGATTGCATAATTTTATAGTTAACTGAACCGGGGATTAAAAATTGCAGTTTTAATAGGTTTCAATGGGGTCATTTTTGTCCAAAAGGCGCTGAGAGGGAGTATTTAATATTTTTTTAAGAAAATGACGGTGAAATAATAAAATTCCAATAAAAATACACACCTGTGCCAAGTTTTTTGCAGTTAGCTTTAACACAGGCAAAGTGATCCAAAAAACAAAACTAAAACGGACAAAAATGTCCATAAGGATGCACAAGGGTTAAAAAACACAAGCAGACACAATAAAGTTAAAAAAAAAAAACACAAGCTGGTTAGAACTGTGTGTTTTATGTCATAGATCAAAACGTGAAAATATATAGAGGCTTTGTTATCCACAGAACTTATTTCAGGCGATTTAGCAAAAATCCCATAGACTTTAGAGCGATGGAACCTTATACTGTCTATGGAGGGAACGGGGAGTGCTAAAATGCTAACTCACTTCCGCGTTTTGGCCTACTACAGATTGACGTCGTAACTTCGGCACAACAGTACTTGCATTTGAGTACAGATGTTCAGTACTCTTTCTATTTATGCACACAACAATAATTAGGTTGATTCATATGAAGCCAGCGAAGAAGTTAACGTTTATTATTTCTCTGACATATTTACTATTTTTACTGTATTTAATTGTTATTCAGTCAGGCAGTTCTTAGGACATCTATAAGGGGCTTGTATGCAAGGGCCCTTTTTCGCGCTCTAAACGTAACGGTCTGTTCGGAAAGCATCTCTGCCAGCGGACACTTCGAGGAGAAGAACTTCAGACATTCACATCAGATATTCACGAATGAGGTAAGTTTAAATATTATGTTGCCAGAAAAATAAAACTGCCAGTGGTCTGTAATGTTTTTGGTTTGGGCTGTTTAATCTGAAGTAGAATCTAACCAAAGGGGAAAATAGCGGGAGAAGTTGGACAATTCATATCACGAATCACGATATACTTTTAATAACGCTGATATGAGCTTTAAACACATTTCCGATAGTTCGATATATGATTACAGTGTTTCACAGGCGTTCATTCGGTCGAGCAGAAAGAGCTGCAACACATTGACTACGTTTACATGCAGCCAAAAACCCGTTCAAAACCGGTTTTCTGCCAATTTTTGCTGCTGCTTTGTCGAAAAATGCTACCGTAGCGCGAATTGATCACAGAATGCCGATTAAAGTCGTGTGAAATACAATTATAATACAATTCTAAGTTATGAGTAGCTACTGTTTACTGTAGACTAACGTTACTGTTTTTATTTTTAAAAACGGTGTGAAAAGTACAAATTATAAAATATTCATCTTTGACTTGTCAAAGCACCTTTCCTCATCATAGTAACTGAAACTTTCAGTTATTCCTTTTCAGCTGGCTGACCGTACAAATATTCATATGATAGTAAGCATTTTTTAAAGCGAAATTATACATTATAACAGGAAAATGTACCTTTTGTAAAAAAAAAAAAAAAAAAAAAAACGGAGTGTGCACATGCGCATAACCGGTAAGCAGCAAATCTCGAACACCTGTTTATTAGCAATAACCCGGTCGTGCACGGCCATGGCTACGTGAGTGATGACACACCACAGAAAGGGCCAGGGGCCCAGCAGCAGTTGGCTGTGGTCAGCAAGTGGCTCAACATAGACATGTACATTGAGAACTAACGTTAGTGTGGGCGCCGCGGGCGCTCGCTCTAGTGTCGCCCTTGACTTAGCTGCTACTTCACATTCTCTGCTGCTACTGCCCATTAATCGACAACTCACAGACACCGTGTCCTAACTACACGCGACGCGACGCCGCAACACGTGATAAAAAAGGTATCTTTTCCATGTTAATCAGAGTTTTGTCCTAACCAGACGCGACGGCGACACGCGAAGTTTCTAATTTAGAAACGGTTCCTATTTCTGCGACGTCGCGGCTGACAGAATGAAGAAATTATACTGGTTATGAGTATACATTATTTATTTTTAGTTAAAAATAGTGTGCCACATGTGATAACGGATAATTTACCTCTAAGGCGCCCCTCAGCCACACGTTTAGTTACTTAATTACTGATTATTAGATTGAATTGATGATTATTGTCAATCTTTTTCGGGGGGTTGCGTTACATTACGTTGGGCAAGTGCTCAGCTGCTGGCGCGTTGATCGGAAGCAGTATACACCTGGTCCACAGGGACGAACACAGAGAAAGCAACAAAATACAAATAAGCCCAGTATAAAAGTAAACCTTCTCAAGCCATTAAAGTGTCAAACGAAATAAATGTACTTCCCGATGTAGCCTCTTGAGATTCACGGTGACCGACGTGCTTTTTGGGCCGATACATAGCCTACTTTATTTATTTTTTTGTCTTAACGGCCCATAAAACTCGTACATCGGCAGCCCATTCATTTTGTTTTGCTTAATTAGCGGCGCTGAGTTGTTTCCTAGTATATTGCTTACTTACAAGTATAGAAATTTGTACACAACTAATTATGAAAGTTTATTTTTCATTGCATTTGTTTTACAATATAGCCTATTAGTAGTGTAATATAGATAGACACTGTAATTAAAAGAGGTTTGAAATTTTCTTTGTTCAATTTTCACACTGAATTGCACCTGATTGATTTATCTTCTACAAGTTACATTACATTACACAGATAAAATGTATTTGTACAATGCAACTATGTAGGATCATAGAAATATCCTGGATCGTTATTTGTAGGTAGCATTTGAGTGAACAATTTGTTACAGATGATTCTTCAACTTGTTGAAGTTTTGGAGTGATTTATAAGAACATTTTTGTTTAGTTTAATAAGTAGTCATCAGTTTTGGGCATGTTACTTAAAGTAATTAGTTTTAGTTACTAGTTACTTCTCACGAATAGCAACTGAGTTAGTAACTGAATTAAAGAATTATAACCGTAACTATTACCAGGGAAAGTAACTATTGCGTTACTTTAAAAAAATAAAAAGTTAAAATAGACCTATGTCAAATAACTTGGATGCACCCAATATTGAATATGTTCAATTAATTAAATGGATTGGACACTATAGAACTAATTATTATTATAAATCATTGTACACTTGTCTACACTATTGTAATGTTGCTGTGGGACAATGTGGGGAAACGCCAATAAAATGCAATATTATTTTAAATATCATCATTACTGTAGTAGATCATAACATACATACATAATACATAATTTTAGGTTTAGGACTTTGAATAATATTGCACAGACCACAACTGGCAAACAAATAAGTCCTAAAATAAATTATGCTTAAATGTACCAAAAAAATAAAAAATAATAATCAAAAAAAATACATACAATCTTTGTAGTGAACATTAAAATGATAAACAGTTTTACAAGAAGTGCTCCCAGAACCAGAATTCCCAGAACGTTCCCTGCAGGTTACTTTTTAGATTTTATTTGTATAACTATATTGATGGTGCAATATAGATAGACAGGCGAGACGCGACACGTTCAGAATTAATAAACTTCAGTGATACCCCTAGAAATTTTTTCAGCAGCGGTGCTGTTAGGTGCCGCCGTGCCGGAGGTTGTTACCAAGCCGCGATGGGCGGGGTGGGGTGGGGTGGGGCTGTGCGGTTTGGGGAATTGCACCTCCGGGATAATTTTTTTTTTAAATAACCCCTTGAACCATGAGTTTGAAAAATGTAGAAATACATTTTCCAAACACATTAGATCCATCGGCATGACAAGTTCCATCATTACGCTTATTCACTGCGTCTTTGTTATTGTAAGAGGTTAGCGACCTAGCGGCTGAGAAAAATACATAATGTAGCTTTAATGGGGTCATGAACAGAGAATTCAAATTTTCCTTGATGTTTTGACAGTTAAGAGGTCGTTATACTATAAAAAAATAACCTGTAAGTTTTAAAACTCAAACTAAAATGTAGAAATTGATAGGGGAAAAATTAAACGTCACAACCTAGAAAAAGATTATTTACAATTTATTGAACATTTTTCTTAATGGCAAAGGCCACACCCAATCTGTGAGCACTTAATTTTTCTGGGCTTTTCAGATGTGTGTGAGTGAGAGTGATACTATTTTATGATTTGCAAGAAGCCTTATGCTCATCTAGCCTGCATTTATTTAATCAAAAATACAGAAAAAGCAGTAGCCTAATATTGTGAAATACTATTACATGATGATATCTGCTCTTTTTTAAAGATTATTTTATTATTAAAAACATCATATTACATATAACATCATATTAGAAATGATTTCTGAAGGTTTGTGTGACACTGAAGCCCCGCGAAGTGACAAAGGCCCCCCCCAGCTAACCTCAGCTCCTTCATGGTCCCCATCTGCCTTTCTCTTCACCAACCAGTTATAGATTCATCTGAAAAATTAAATAATATTTAACTATCAGGACTATGAGCAGTAGGTGATACTTCTTCGTCCTCATGGAAACAGTTCGTACCGCTTTCTCTTTTCCACAAGTGCTCGCTGTCCCGTGGAGTCTCTCGTTGCTATGCAACCTTGAACAGAGGCGCGATTGGATAAACGAGTGCGCCGCCGCCGCGTCACTTCTATTCTGAGTGGAGCGCGTATGCCTTATTTAAATTAACGAACGGCCCCTTATGGCAACGTGACATTAGCCTAATCGAAAATATTTCCATTTATGGCTCTTTCCTCCGTTCTTGTCAACAAGTGGATTCAGAGCCACATTAGCAGCGCTGCCGGTCGCCATGTCTGTGTTTTTAGGTGTATAAGTGAATGAAGTGAATGTCATGATATTGCTGATCATGAAAAAATTTTGCAGCGGTGCTGAAAATCCAGCGGCGGCGCTGCGCCGCTGCTGAATACATTGTAGGGGAAACACTGAACTTTTAATAAACTACAGAACAGCGCGAGTGGGAAGCAGTGCGCCTCACACGAGCAGAATTTATGCCCCGAGAACGAACACTGCAAAACACACACAGGTCTGTTAACTTATAACTCCGTAACAAGTAACTGAAAAAGTAGGGTACATTTAAATAAAGAGGCGGCGTGCGTACCTCACGCGAGCAGGGATTATATTATCCGAGAACGGCACTGCATTAGTGATATAAAACACATACACAGGTCTTTTAACTTAAGCAATATTTTTAATAAGGTATTGTCTTCTCACTGACAAAGTAAAATAGATTTAAATAAATAAAACAAAATTGTGACGTGACGTCCCAGTAAAATCTCAAAGTCTCGCAGTAGATTCATTTAGATTGATAAAGGGTAAAAAGGATAATTCATTTTGTTTCTATTATTCTGTTTTCCACAATGTCAAAACAACACTGCTTAACCCAAAAAACAAGCACAGGCATGCACTTCTGTCCATACAAACTCCGTTGTTCTGCGCTCTAGCTGGAGGATACTCCCGTTGCAGGGACACTTTTAGTAGTCCAAGAAGAAGCAAATATATTTAAATAATATAAGCAATAAAATATATACACAAATATAAGTAGCTATAATGAAGTTATATGTTAAGTGTTAAATTTCACCAGATTTTATACTGTTAAATTAAAACATATTCAAGCGTGAATGAGAATTTTCGAGTGGGATGCCAGGTGTGCAAAAAAAAAAAAAAAAGTCACTTTTTCAAATCGAATACTAACCCACCGAACGAATATTCGAATATTCTGGTCCAGCCCTAGTTATTCTATGTTCATTTATTATTTATCTTGCTATTGATTGATAGTTTCTGTTGAACACTGATTTGCTCAATTTTTTCTGATTTCATTAAGGTCTTGCCAGACAGGAAAGTGACAGAAGGACGTGTACCCTGTTGTTTATAAATATGGCGTAAGTTTCCATACATTGACTTTAAAGTTTCCTTTAAATGCTCCTGATATGTTATAAGACATTGCCAAATGATGTTAATTTCAAATGCTTATATCACTAACTTATATCACAGTTGTTTAGCCAGGATTCTCATCTCAAAAGTTTTCATTTCTCATTTCCCTTTTTTGGCCAAGGAAAAACCCTGATATTGCTCAATTAAACTTGATTATAGTATCAGTTTTGGCCACAATCTTACATATGACCCCTTTAAACAGACCATCGCAGATTAGGGATGAGTCACAATCTTTGGCTATTGAAATATATTATCTGAGGCACAATTATTTCACACAAACTTGTGTGACAGTCATAAGGTCTTTATCTTAAACACCTCAATATGTCTGTCTGTTTTATAAAGTATAAAAGCTTTGTCTATTACAGATCCAAACGAAAAATGGATTATGACGACAGTCGTTGGACTAAACGAAGACGTGTTAAAATGAAAGTACAGGAGCACTTGAATTATTTGGAAGGCTGCCAAAATGACATTGTGCCAACAAATATGTATTTCAATGCATCAGAGAAAGACTTTAAGTCTCATGGAAGTAACAATTCAAATGACAAGCAGATCTGTGGACATCACAGTGAAGAGTTGGGGTCTCAAAGTGATGACGAATCACATTCTGAAGTTGTTTCCAAACACAATTTTGAAGCCCAAAATGATCAGACTGATTCGGAGAGCACAGTTGAAAAATCAGACACTTGTAGCTTTAGTGACATTAGAAGGAAATTAAGAGACTGGTCAGTAAATCACAATATTTCACATAGTGCCCTGTCAGAACTGTTGCACTTATTAGTGCAGTGTGGCTTGGAGTTACCAAAAGATCCAAGAACTCTTTTGTCAACCTCAACAACCTACGAAATCAAAGACATCGGAACTGGATGCTACTGCCATATTGGAGTGTCTAACGCAATCATTTCAGCTCTGTCACAGGAAGCACATTCCTCAGTAGATACTATAACACTGCGTATCAACATTGATGGTATACCCCTCTCAAGCAGCTCTAAACAGGAGTTATGGCCTATTCTGGCTAAGATCAAGGAACTTCCCACAGCTAATGTTGGTGTCATTGGTCTGTTTGCTGGCCCAACAAAGCCTCAATGTATTAATGAATACCTGAAGGATTTCATTGAGGAGTTGAAGCTATTAATGCATGATGGTCTAGAATACAATGGAAGACATTACAATGTTGCTCTTCCAGATGCATTTATCTGTGATGCACCTGCTCGTGCCTACTTGAAATGCATCAAAGGTCACACTGGCTACAGCTCCTGCGAGCGATGCACTGAGTATGGGGTTCATTTAGGTACAGTTGTGTTTCCAGAATTGACTGCACCGCTGCGAACAGACTTGACCTTTGATCAGCAGCTTGATAGTGACCATCACCATAATGATATAGTCTCACCGCTACAAGAGCTTGGGATTAGAATGGTCTCAAGCTTTGTCCTTGACTATATGCATTTGGTATGCTTAGGACATGTTAGAAGAATTGTACGTCTTTGGACCAAGGGACCTTTAAGTAGTCGTCTTTCTTCTTCCACAATCAACATGATTTCTGATCACTTGGAATCAATCAGAGCAAATCTCCCACAGAATTTTTCACGTAAGCCAAGGTCACTTAGAGAATACAGAAATTGGAAGGCCACTGAATATCGACAGTTTCTGTTGTACACAGGTCCTGTGGTACTGAAAGGACGCCTACCAACAAGGCTGTACAAAAACTTTATGATACTCTCAGTTGCAATGAGGATACTTCTCAGTCCAGCCTTGTGCTCTGAGCACTGTGAATATGCAGGCAAGCTACTGAAATGTTATGTGACAAATTTTGGACAGATATATGGATCCGAGCAGCTAGTCTATAACACTCACTCGCTCATCCATCTTGCCGATGATGCCAGAAAATTTGGTTCCCTAGACAACGTGTCATGTTTCCCTTTTGAAAATCATCTAGGGACTATAAAGCGGATGGTGAGACGGCCCCAAGGCGCAGTTCAACAACTTGTAAGGCGTCTCAGTGAAAAACAGCATTCACTCTCCCTTAAATGTGGAAAAGAGAGGGCAAATAAGCCTCTAAAACCACATTTCTCAGGTCCGACTCTACCTGATGTTCCTGTCCGCATGCAGTACATGAAGTACAGACATGATGGCAATATAATTTCATGTCGTAAAGGCAACAATTGTTTTAATGTTAAGGGAAAAGTTGCTGTGGTTCGGAACATTGTTGAGTTGGTATCGGGGGGTATGTACGCAGTCTGTCAGTTTTATCAAAAACAAGACAGCTTTTACAACTACCCTATTGAGTCAACGTGTGTGGGGATTAGAACAGTGACACGGCTGTCTCACCAGCTGCATGGTGTGTCGGTCACAGAGTTAACTGAGAGACTAGTACTTCTGCCATTGCAGGATGGAGCTGTTGCATTTGTCCAGTTACACAATCAGTAACCATTATGAACTTTGCAGCATGTCCCTGTACTGTATCGTCGAGTTTATAGACGAGATTCATAATGGCAAAGCTGTGGTGGATATAATTCCAACTTGTTGGATGACCGAAGACGACAGTGAGTGTTTCTGGCCATCAGGCCATAATGTAACCAAGGCTGTGAAGGACCGACACAAGCCAGAGGAATCGTGGCCGAAATACTCCATCAGAGTACTTGGACGGGCAGGTAAGAGGTTCTTTCTGAATTTGACAAATACTTTGGCTGTAATCTATGTAGCCCAGTGTCAATAAGACATCAATTTCTATAAGTGCCAATAATGTAATTTTCAAATTTAGGCTGTAAAATTGAGATTTCTATATTCAGTTGTCTTTTGTCTAAACCAACATCAGCCATCATAAATGGTAAACAATGTTTTTTTTTTAATGTTTATTCAACTCGAAGAATTTAGGTGCAGACACCTAATTAAATAGTTATTTTTTTTCACGGTCACCATAGATTGCATACCAAAACCCTTTTTCCTTTTGTTATTAAGACACTTTCGAGGCTGCTCGCCAAAAATGTAAAAAAGCGGAGGCAACGTCTGACTTACAGACAGATGTTGATGAAATGGCTGCAAGGCGAAAAAGGAGGTAATGTAATACAGAATATTTGTGGCGTTGCACGATTTCTGGCTTTAAAGGACAAGTACTGTTTTTTTTTAACCTGTACTGTTTTTTTAAAAACCTTGTTTCTAGCTTGTGATATTTTTTCATAAACTTACCCCGGGAAGTTTGGAGTCACTATTTGTCCTTCGGGAGATATTTTGATCCATGCAATTGCGTCCATTCCAGCAAAACGGTAGAAGTCGGGGCCAGTACCATTTCAGCCTAAATAAAACATTGTCAGTGACAAAACGTCTTCTATTCACCAGTATGTATGCATTGCTAGTGACTTGAACATGTCATCCAGGCATTTTTAAAAAGATCTGTCAATATGAGCTGATTTTCCACCAAACAATTATTTTATTTCAGCCTTTACACTACATTCAATGGCCTGCTAACTTGCTACTGCTAGTTTAGTATAATATCCAAATATCCGATTCTGAGGATGTGTAGGACATCTTCATTGTGCAAAATTATGTGGAAGTGACATCATTGACGTATGTCAACCCAAAGCTATCTAGATAACCTCAGGCTAGTTTGCTAAATTCTTTTTTAAAAGCCCTGGAAGACAACCAAGCCACTCGAAAGTCAACGAGGGATAGCACTAGCAATGTATAACCATATATTTGTGAAAAGAAGGCGTTACTGATAATGTTTTATTTAGGCTGAAATGTTACTGGCCCTAACATCTAGTGTTTTGCTGAAATAGCACTCATTGATATGGGTGTAAATTTCTTGCAAATGACAGGTGACTCGAAAGTTCTCCGGGTAAGTTTATAAACTTATTTCATGCTAGAAATAAGGTCCAGGTTCAAATAGGGCTGTCGCGGTTATGGAATTTCCCTTGCGGTTATGTTGAGTGGCTCATAGCACGATATTCGGTATTACCGCCATTTACATTATTTATTTATTTATTTAATTTATATGTATTTGTTGCTATATAAATAAAGTTTACGATGTGGACAAAAACGAGGACATTTTTAGTAACCAATGTAACCGAAACTAAACAGCGTCTACAGTATATGCGCATCGAAAAACTTTCACTCAGCGCGCATATTGTTATGACAACGGACTTTGAGCGAGTCATTGAACCGTTCATTCAACGAACACGTTTAAAAAAGCTGACTCATTAAAAGACATGTAAAGAAACAAGTTAATTATTTTTAACTTTGAGGTTCAACTTTTCAAGGCTCAGCTGAGCAGCGATGCGTCGCATGGGCAACGCTGATGCTTCACTTATTAGAGGCCAATATAGCATTGATTCAATGCGTGACTCACTGATTTTATTTCCCCGCGACTTCCTTGTGCTGTGGGATGCTGACCAGCGTTGCTGCTGACGCGCATTTATGGGAAAATACCGCTAAAATGATGATGCGACAAATATTTCGCTTCCCTTTGACACGACAAGCTTTTCACGACTTAAAAGACAGACACAGGTAATTGCACGCGCTCTGTCGATCTCTCTCATTCACTGTGTGAAGCCTGTAGGCTACACATCACCATGATAAACAGTCTTGTTATCATTATGAACTTGTTTAACATTCAATACACGTACATTAAGTTCAAAACAAGAAGGGTATAGCCTTATAAAAAAAAAAAAAGTGAATATCGCGATTGATGCGGTTGACTTGTCAGAAGCGGTGTACTGCAATATTGCGGTTACCGCGACAGCCCTAGGTAAAAAAAAACTTTTCCTTTTCCTTTAATTTCCATTTTTCATTTACCTCAAATATGGCAGTTGTTAGAAAAATGCCTTGAAGCCACATACAATAAAAAAAAACTCATTTTGGTGGGAATAAATTATTAAAAACAATATCGATGCCAATATTTTACAGTCCAAAACTAGATCAGTACGCCACTAACAAACAACAAAAACTGTTTTTTTTTTTTTCAGTGTATTCTGTTGTAAAAGTTTAAATGTATGTTTTTAACTGAATATAGAGCACCAAAACCCCTGCTGGCTTCCAGTGACGACGAAACGGACATCGAGGGAGATGTGTTGCCACCTACCCCTCCCGAGGCGTTTGTGTCTAAGAAAGTGTGGAGTGCAGGTGAAGCCCGGACAAAAAACAGGGTTAGTGATTAAGTGTTTGAAATGATTAAGTGAAACTACACCTACAAAAAGGAGAAATGAAAATGTTCCTCCTTCAATGAGAATGTAGATATAGTAGCATATGGTCAGGATTTAATGTACTTTTTACTTTAAAGAATTACTAAAAAAGCACTGGAGGTTGCTTTCACTTTTTTGCGTTTTTAAGCCTCAAAAATGCCGTCGCCGTGTAAACGAAAGGCACATCCGATAAAATATTGTTACGTTTTCACCCGCGAGCGTTCTCGTGTAAACAGGGCCTAAGATGAGTTCATACATAGCTTTCTCGTCTCAGTGTGTGCACTCAATCGCTCTGCAGCGCGAGACAATTTGATCACACTTGACTAGCCCAGTTCATTCAATAGGGGCCAAGCAGAGAAACGACTAAACACCTCCACGTTTTCCCTATTTAAATACAGTCACAGAGTAACTCAACCAAGAATGGTGACACAAAATAAAACGTTGCGCTTTTCTAAGCGTGTAAAGTGGATAACTATAATGTATGGCGGAATACCACAGCAAGTGCTTGGGAGCACTTCAACTTGGCGTAGTATGGGCTATGTGCACAACTGTAGTTTCGAACTTCCGCTTTTGTCAGAAGTCGGCGTATCAGTTTCCGGTCTACGACTGGTCATACGCATCCACTAATAAACAAACAAGATGAGTGCTGCTGTTGTACGAAAAAAGAGTTCTTAAACACATCTAAGTTCCTAAGAACTGTAGTGGATCTAACCTCCTTTTCACACCCGTTTGCAGTGTGTGTTGTGGTGCAGGAGCGTGCTTCTGCGTTCAGTGCGTTCACATATTATGATGCGTTTGCACAGTGAATAACTGATCCGCGGCTGTACAACAAACACATACTTAATATTTTTATTATATTTTGCGCATCGATCAAAATGTCTATTTTGTGCAGCCATTGCGCACGAAGGTTGGTGTTTATCAGGAAGCAGTAGAAGCTCAAATGGCTGTTAGCGACTTGAAGCAGAGCAAAGTGCCACACAGTCTTCTACGCAGGTTAGGGCTTTCACTTTTCACTGGTGTGGTACATATAACAGCAGAACAGCGATCGTTTCCACGCCGAATCTATTTCTGCTGTGCTGCAAACGCTGGTGGTCAAAATGATAAAGATTGACCTGAAAATGTAGTAATTTCACCATAAATGCGTTTAATTAAATAACATGTAGTACTCTCACCATAAATGCACATTTAATCAAGGAAAACTACAATTTACTTCAACCAGGCGACAGAATGAACTCGTCTCGATCGTGGAAAAAATAAGTTTTGTGACATGCAAGATCTATTGTTTTAAAATTAAAATGCAAAAGAAAAGGCAAGTCGGCTGCTTTTGTCAATTTCAAGTTTTTATTTAAATTATTTGCGATTTTAATATAGGAAATATTTGACCACTTGCTTGAGCAACTTGTAATGCATGGAGTAATAGCCCTAACTTACATTGTTTAGATTGTGTTTAAACGTGCATACAAAGAATCGCAATGCTGACACATCAATTTGTTTTTAAAAATAAGTTGCAGCATAACTTCTGGACTTTAAATAAAAATATTAAGTATGTGTTTGTTGTACAGCTGCGGATCAGTTATTCACTGTGCAAACGCATCATAATAGCCTATGTGAACGCACTAACAGCACGCTCCTGCACCGCAACACACACTGCAAACGGGTGTGAAACGGACGTTAGATCCACTACAGTTCTTAGAAACTTAGATGTGTTTAAGAACTCTTTTTTTCGTACAACAGCAGCACTCATCTTCTTTGTTTATTAGTGGATGCGGATGACCAGTCGTAGAAACTGAAACTGATACGCCGACTTCTGACAAAAGCGGAAGTTCGAAACTGCAGTTGTGCACATAGCCTATATCACTCGTGAAAAGTCCTCTCCCTCTCCAGAGTGATGACATTACTGTGCCGAGTCCATAGATATATATGTGTCAATATAGATAGTCAATGTGCTTGGTATTCCAAAACCACAGACAGTGACTTTTTTTTTTTTTTTTTTTTTTTTTGTTAAGGTTTTAATGTGTGTGATTCATTTAATGGAAAGCACATTCACTTCTAGTTGTCTTCGTCCTCTATTCTGCAATGTTTTGGTCTCCCGTGTGTGTGGCAAGCTGTACCGCCAGGAGCGTGCAAAAAATAAATATATAAATGCAAAAAATATGACGTTGATGTAATTTTGACGTTTAAGCGTCAACATCATCGGGGCGCCGCTTCAGCACTAATATATATATATATATATATATAAAAATATATATAGGGTTGGGTATGGGGTGGGTTTTATCCGATACCAGTACCTACTTGGTATTTTTTAAATGGTTCCGGTGTCGAAACGGTACTTAAGAAAACGAAACCGCACACACTTTGTCAAAAAATAATACCCCTTTATTTACAAGGCCAATCTGGACACAATATTAACTTACAATATAAGTACAAGTAACATATAGTAATAATAAATAAACCAATATAAAATATAAGTTCACATTTACATACTATCAAATAAAACTATATTGTAGTAAACAGTGTAATTATACTGGAGATTAATAGAGATTACTAACAGGGTAAGATGGAACAGACAGTGATTCAATAAACCGTATAGTGTGCGCACTACGGAGAGGGAGAGAATGAGAGACTGTGTGTGAGCGCCTCATGACACAGAGACTCAGGGACCGAAATCAGGCACTGAAATGTTCATTCTTATTCGGTCTGGTTACTACCGTTTACGTCAGAACAGGTTCACTATTGGCACCTTTCGGTGTGTGTGTGTGTATATATATATATATATATATATATATATATATATATATACCCAACTCCCAATTGGAGTTTCGGTACCCAACCCTATATATATATATATATATATATATATATATTACTTTTTAATGGTAGTGTTGTGTTTTTAAATTGCTGCAGTGTTACTGGTATTTCTTCCTCTTAGGATATTTAAGAGGTGTTAATGCTGTATTTCTGCTTTCAAATTGTGCAGAGGACCATCCGCAGCCCTCGCGTATCCCAGAGGAGAAGCCGCAGTCCTCATGTGTCCCAGAGGGGACTCAGCAGACCTCATTTGTCCCAGAGAGGAAGCCACAGCCCTCATGCGTCACAGAGGGCACTCAGCAGCCCTCATCTGTCCCAGAGGGGAAGCCGCAGCCCTCGTGTTTCCGAGTGGCGGAGAAGGTGCCAGAGGAGCAGGTCCCATGGATCCCGCAGGGGAAGCAGCACCCATGGTTCCGGGAGGCGGAGTGGATCCCAGAGGAGCGGATCCCGCAGGAGTAGTGGATCCAGCAGGGGGAGCAGCCCCAACGATTCTGGGAGGGTGAGCAAATTCACAACGCCTGTTGATGTTACAATGCATTATGAGCTTGTAGATCTGCCATAGTATTTATATGAGTTTTTTTGTTTTCGTTTAGAGGGGTTGAAATGTTCTTTAAAGTCAAAGTTTTTGCTTCCAAATTGTAAAATTTGTCACAAAATTTGTTCACCAGGTAACCAGGGGCAGCCCAGGAAGACATAGTCTGACCCCAAGAAACCCCTGTGGGTCCCCCCGAAGTGGCCTCAGCATGAGCGTACTTAATGGCGGCCCCACCCCGTCTCCTGGCCACAGAGCAGCCCAGTTACTTCGTGGCCAAACTTTAGCCCCCCAAAATATTGACAGAGCAATGTTCATCAGATTAGTGACATTGCTTGAAGAAGTAAAAGACACACTGAAGATGCATGGGCAGATGCTTAACGCACTGCTCCAAAAAGATTCAATCCCAGTCATGACAATACCTGATGGCGCTGTTTTCCCCCTGACCAATGTTGAGGACGTTGTCGCCATGAATGAGAAGTTGTCAGACCCTGAATTCATGTCTGCAGTAGTAAGTTTTTGGGGGCCAGATCTTCTTGTTTTCCTGTGTTTTCTTTCTTCTGACAATCTTTCCAATGCTTAATGAATCACTAAACTTTGCAGAGTTCAAGTCCCATGAAATGACTTAAAGGTATTGTAGGTAGGTACAATTAAAATGTAAGTACTCTGATAAAAAGAGTATAAAATTCGAGTGACTCTAGACTGTTTAAACTGCACTAAACACAGCTCATTATTTCCAACCGGGACGAAACCGTCAACCACCCTTTTGCCACACAGGACCTGCCCACTTGCACGTATCCAGATCGTACCTGTTCAGATGCCCTTGTTTGAGCTTTGAAGATGCAAAACTCGACACAGGTCCTCTTGTCCAAGAAGTGCACCTTGGACCCTTGTTGAACGATCTCCTCTGCTTCGCCAACCCCCGATCTGTCCTTGAGCTGATGATGCCCTAACATGACATCATGAGTTTTGCGTAAACATACACACCACTTTCAAGTGAAGTGGCGTGTTATCCATACGTATTTTGAGCTATCCGCGTGTATGCGTGTATGTCTACGCCATTAAATGTCCAAGTGATTCCGCGTGTATGTACACGCTGTTAAATGTCTGAGTGAAAAGAAGCAAAATGTAGATCTACATCTGCGATATTTTTTCCTAGGATGGTAGAGGAAGACTCATAAATGCTATTAACCCCACTAACAGGTAGGTTTAGGGACGGGGTTGGGTTATGCCATATACAGTATTTATATATACAGTAATGTAACGTTAAGTCAACGGTGTTCATAAACACGCTGAAAAGCGATTATGCTGATAGCACGCCAAAAATGGAAATACGAATTAAACTCTTACATGCCGAACACCATGTTATGAATCTTACATGAAATTCATGTTCATCACAGTGTAAATGATGGCCATGGAAAAACGTGTATCATGCAACCTGTTTTTAGCTCTGCCTTATAGATAACTAGCTCGTTAGCGAATCAATAAATATATATTTTAAACTTTACCAATAGCTTGATAATGAGTACTAAAATACATCTTATTTGTCTATCTTCATAGTGATAAAGTTAGATTTTTTATTACATGTGATTCTGACATGTTACTACATGCACTGCGCTCCTTCCTCTCCGCTCGTCTCAGGTAAATAATGCGTCTTCACCTCAGCGGTCGGAGTCGCGCGTTCATGTGTTTTGGGGGCGTGGCTTTGGAAGGAGCCTAGAAGGCAGGGGCTGGAGTGAATGGAAATAATGAGCTGTCTTTAAAACACTCATGAAAGGACTACAGACAATCGATTTTTATACTTTCTTTTTAAGAGTACTTACATTTTAATTATGCATTGATATTTACAGAAAGTTTAAACAAATTTGGTGAAAGGTTGTTTTTTTTTAAAATAAAATTCCTACCTACAATACCTTTAAGTAAACTTGAACATCAGTTCACTGCTGCATTGACTAATCTTAAATCATAAAAAACAGTCCTTAGTTAAATAGACAAGTTATAAAGATCATTATACTTATACTCGTGAGTTGTGTGTGAGTCTCTGCTTATAGCACACATGCCGGAAATGTGTCCTTCCATCATGTTGCAGAGAAAATGAAATACAGGAATATGTTGACACTTTTTTGACACATTTGCCTGGCAACAAGCTCAGAAATTGACAACATTTTGTTTTAATATTTTATGATATATTCCAACTTAATATGGCATTTCCTTCCTGTGACTTTGAATGTACTGTGCTCTTACTGTTTACTGTTAAGGTTACCATGGTTGCAGACATTGGGGGCTCATCACTAGAGGACGCCACCAGGAGAATGATGAAGTTCATTATGGTACCAGAACTTCAACGGAAGTACAATGTGACTGGACGGATGGGGAAGCTGTGCTTCAAAGATCTGCGTCTTTTTGAAGTATTCTATCGTAAGTTCAGTTTTGTAATTGCTCAATGAAACTTATATTTGGCCTTTCTTTTATTTATCTGAAGTTAAATTATATGGTTGTTTGTGGGGACACAAAAGTCCTCCTGTAAGTTAGAACAGACTAGTAATACTAGTAACTAACTAGCAGTGTTGGGGGTAACGAGTTACAAAGTAACAAATTACAGTAACAATATTACTTTTTTGGGTAACGACGTAAAGTAACGCATTACACTAAAAATATTGGTAACTACACTACTTTACTATACTACAGAAACGCGCTTTTCTGCGTTACCCAAGCTGTGTTTGCCTATGTGGAAAGTTCTGTCTAGTGGTGCGTGCGCACCGTTGCCATAGAGACCGATTTGAGTGACATAGCTGCCGGTGCGAAGGAGAGAGGGAAGTTGAGACGGAGACGGGGTTTCGGCAAGTGGCAATATTCACGTTACTTTCAGTTTATTGCTCAAAAGGACAAAAATATTTGTGTGAAATGTAGGCTACTGTAGTAAAGCCTAAGATTATTGTGATAATACAACAAAATATGTGGATATAAACACATGTATATAGACTATAGAACTAAATGAATGATCTCTATTTTCTAATTTCACTAAATATTTCAATACGTTTCGTGGACATTTTATAAAACATGGATCTTAGGCTCATTTTGTAAACATAAATAACTGGTTTAGATGTGCATACTGGGTGCCGTTGCGGAGATGTAGGGTAACTTACATGCTAGGTGCAGATTCGGCTTCTTGAAGTTGTTCATCCTCAGATGCGGCACCGCAAAAAAGCCGTGCACATCAAGTAAAATGGGTTTTTGTGTGACCGCCCACACCACAATGACATCAATTTTGCCGCGCGCACCTTCGCACTTGTGCGGATGCGTCAAGTATATAAACAAGGCTCGGAACTCTTGGATAACACAAAACAAAATGAACAGGATTGTTGCAGGGTTCATTGTAGAAGACATGCTTCCCCTGTCGACCATTAATCCCCACGTTTAGGTTTAGAAAAATGCATTTTAAAGGTGCCCTAGAATGTGAAATTGAATTTATTTTGGCATAGTTGCATAACTCAGTACATGGACATGACATACAGTGAGTCTCAAACACCATTGTTTTCTCTAGGGCTGTCAACTTTAGCCGTTTAGTCGACTAATCAGTCGATGCCGTCTTGGTCAACTGACATTCTTATTGGTCGACCAGTCGCATTTTTTTATCTACCAATAGAAATACATTTTCAATGATTTACTCCTTGATATTTATTCCTTTATAAGCAGTTATTTATTACTGTATTCTAAATATAATTTGCCTCTGTTTTATCCCCAACTTTAAATGCTTTAATTTAGGCTATTTTTGTAACTGCGCCACAGTTTAGCGCACACACATAATACATTCGGGAAAGGCACCTGTGGCTGGCTGCGCTGCTGCTTCGCGATCAGTAAGGGATATACCTGTAGGTAGTTTTGCTGTATTCATTTAGGTACAACACTACTTGTTTTGGCTTTAGTCAATCAAAATCTTTTGTCTGGCTGCATTTTAAAACAAAGATGACAAAACTGTGGAGGTAGGCGACCGCGTTGCTCCATTATGAGCGCGCACATCGCGTGCCTACATTTGAAATCGAACTTGAGCACGCAAAAGTCGTGAGCAGCGATTTTAACGGCTTTATCATGATTGTGATTTCTTAATATGTTTTCGTTTTTTATTTGTACAGTTGACGCATTTGAAAATAGCCTAAATAATGTAACAAAACGAAAATAAACCTACGCCTTGCAGCCTTCCTACAACACAGCCTATTTCAGGTTGTTTTTAGGCTTTTTAATTTTTTTTAAATGCCTAGATCGGCTGGACAAAAGTTAACCCATAGCTTTGTAAATAAAGAAGAATAGCCTGTATAAACGAGAGCTTTTGTTAAGATTTTTCATTATGTGGCAGATAGCAGTTATATTTTTTGTAGTGTGTGGTGTGATCAGGTGCTTGATTGTGACTGTCACAACAGACCTAGGACGGAGCTCCTCACTTTTTGCAGTTAAAAAAATCACTTAATTTTCAAAGAATTGTATTATTATTATAGTTTTATTTATTTTTGTTTTTTTTTCCCGTTTTTTTATAAATGCTCTATGACGATTGTTTAAAAAAGTTCAATCAAAACATCCATATTTTTTTTAGTTGACTAATCGTTGCGCAGGACAAGACTTTGGTCGACTAAGGATTTCTTTGGTTGACTACAGCCCTAGTTTTCTTCTTCTTACTTAAATCTCATTTTTGAAAAACACCCCTGAAAAATAGGCGAATCTCCACATAATACCGACTGTTACGCAACAGTCGGGATCATTAATATGTACGACCCCAAACATTTGCATATGCCAGCCCATGTTCGGTGACAGACGAGACGGAGCTGCGCAGCCCAAGCATGGCAGTTGATCAGTGTTTGGATGTACACATTAACACAAAAGTGTATTTCAGTTCCTTCGTCCGAGCTTCTGAAGAAACAATGAGTTAATTTTTTTTTCTCTGGAAATTTTCAAACATTTCACCGACGACTGTTTCCTCAACTTCCCTAGAGCTGGCCTCGGACCGAGCTGATGTGTAATTGTTGTTCAAATTCAGATAGGTAACGTTAATCTTTCTCTTTAAAATCATTCAATACTGTTTATGCATCAGCAAGTCGAGTCAGTGACAAAAATATCAACTTCACATTCTTTCTTTTAGTTGGATGAAAAAAAAAAACGTATTTAAATTGTGAATAAATTATATACAGAAAGCGATCAAAGAACAATCTTTCCACACAGCTCGAGTTTAACTGGACACTTGCCAAACTCGTTATGAATTCAATGACGTACGTTACACTGCACAACAAAGCTCTTGCACATGATCGTGTCTGCATTAGTGAAAGCAGAGAAGGCAGAAACTGCATTGCAATGATAGGATCTTCATCCTCAAGATCGATAGACTGTCATCTGCTTGCTCAATGCTCATCACAGCAACACTTTATGTGATGGGAGTAGATCGAAAAACATCTCACGATTCGTTAATCTCGATAGCTGTAATAGTAAAAACATATTATAGCTGTAGTAAAATTATTCGAGAGAGTTTCACATGTAATACATGGCTATTTCATATGCAAGCATGTCAGCCAATCACAGCAGAGGCCGGTTACACACAGCAGACACGCCCCTTCAAACAGAGCGTTCAAAGCAGAGGCTAAAATCAGGCCAGGAAAAATGCCTTTTATTTCTAAATTATGACTGTTTTTGATCTAAAAAACATACTAACATTAAAAGGGCAACCGAGGAAACATTATAAAATATAAAAATAATAATAATTCTAGGGCACCTTTAAATTAAGATGAAGAATTTTATGGGATGAAGTAACCTTTATTTTTTTATTTTTCATTGACCTCTTCATTTTTTTGTTTTTTATTGCCATGAGTCAAATAAAAAGCTGGTTTTGTCCTCAGGAGAAGAGTTTTATTCTCCCAAAGCCTGTGTTTTGACACTTGTGTATTGAACCCCATTTTAAAATGATCCCACCATAGCCTCCTTTATCCTTTTGTTTGTGAATTTTACAGTGCGGCATATTTATTTGTGCAGACAGGGATATTGTTCTTTCATACCATTTTGTATAAATTTGTACAATAAAGTGATGATAGGGCAAAATGTGATGATAGGCTATGATGTTTGTCCATGTATCTACACGGTAAATAAAGAAACGTGAAAGTAAAGTAGTGAAGTTACTTTTCCAACACATTAACTAGTAAAGTAATCTCATTACAATTTACACAAGTAACTAGTAACTAATTACTTTTTTTGAGTAACTACCCCAACACTGCTAACTAGTAATAAAACGACCTGGCACATTAAAATAATGCATACAAACAAAGGGTTCGCCTCGGGAGAATTCATGAATTGTGATATATTCATGGAAAATGCTTTCTAATGTCGCTCATCTGGTGTGCATTTGAGGCTACTGTAAATTTCAACATGTAATAGAAAAAGGGTTAAGTATATAAAACTCCATGAAATTCCATGTTAAATGTCACCGTAGGGCAAACATTTTAGCTTACCACATGTGGAAATGTGTTTTACTTGACTGAATGATTTGAAGAGTTGCAAGTTGGAGCACATAAGAACCCTGCTGAACAGACTTATGCTCTTTTGTTTTTAGGTGCACTGAAGAGTAATGCAATTACTCAAAGTGTGAACCGGAAGCAAGTAGAAATGGCGCTGGGGAAGTGGTTCACCGGTGCACGTGACCGTGGAGGGGAGAGGGCTGCAAGAGCCCTAAGAGAAAAGGGAGCATCCACCACACCATGAGTTTATTTTTTGGTGATATTTTTTTATTTATTTTTTTTCAGAGATTACTTTTTCAGAGATATACTGTTGTGACATTTAATTTGTTTGTTGTTCAATTAAACAATATATTTCTTGTAGTTCAAAGCGTCAAGTGTTTTGTATTTATCTTGGACTTGCATACATTCATCGATTTTAGTTTTTCTTAGATTGTTTCCTTAAAATATTTGGCATGGTTGGGCTTAGATGGGCTTAGAAGCCCACTTTAAACCCCTTTAGGTAGGTGGGGCCCAAATGGGTCTGACATTAATTACCCAGTTAAGAACCACATAACACCCTTACAGGTCCCACTTAAAACCCATCTGGGCGTCCACGGCTGGATCCCGGGTACAAGCCTATTTTAAACCCCTTTAGGTAGGTGGGGCCCAAATGGGTCTGACATTAATTACCCAGTTAAGAACCACATAACACCCTTACAGGTCCCACTTAAAACCCATCTGGGCGTCCACGGCTGGATCCCGGGTACAAGCCTATTTTAAACCCCTTTAGGTAGGTGGGGCCCAAATGGGTCTGACATTAATTACCCAGTTAAGAACCACATAACACCCTTACAGGTCCCACTTAAAACCCATCTGGGCGTCCACGGCTGGATCCCGGGTACAAGCCTATTTTAAACCCCTTTAGGTAGGTGGGGCCCAAATGGGTCTGACATTAATATCCCAGTTAAGAACCACATAAGACCCTTACAGGTCCCATTTAAAGCCCATCTGGGCAATCCTAGGTGCAAACCCACTTTAAACCCCTGTGGGCAGGTGGGGCCCCAATGGGTCTGGCATGAATTTCCCACGTAGGACCCACATAAGATTCTTACAGAGCCCATTTAAAGCCCATCTGGGTAACCATGGTTGGATCCCAGGTGCAAGCCCACTTAAGACCCATTTTGGGCAGGTGGGGCCCAAACGGGTCTGACATGAATTGCCCAATTAAGACCCACGCAGTACCCTTACAGGTCCCACTTTTAGTATGTCTGGGCTTCCACAACTTGCCCCAATGTGGATCCCGGGTGCAAGCCCATAATGGGGCCCACATTTGCCGCCCATCAAGCCCTCATATGGGCCCCACATGTCATTGCTGGCTGGGTGACAATCGAAATAAATCAATATCCTGAATTCTATTTTACTCCAGTAACTCCAACAGTTCACTGAACCGAGACATGTTGGTGCCACTGTTGAGAGAAGTGATGAGCACGAGCAGCTGATACTGCGCATAGATACTGCGTACTACCGAACGCACAGGGACAGCGGTTCTCGAATAGAACCGAGAACTGTTTAGACTGAGCTTGTGTGTTATCTTCGTGCCAGTTATTCAGCCAATAATGTGTAGGGCTGTATATTTCATCAAAAATTGTGTCTAGTACTAATACAAATGTTTAATTGGCATCTTTTTTCAAACGACCCGACCGACCGCGACCCGAATATCATTAAAAACATTTTTGGATGACCCGTAACTGCGGGTAACCGCGGGTGACCGCAGGCACCCGCTCATTTCGGATCAACCCGCGCATCACTGCTTGGAATGGTTTCCTGCCCTCGAATCCTCGCGGCCTGAGCTGATGAGGTGTCACCGCCTGGGTAAACCTCCTACGCATGGTTCTGCAAAGACCCGTCCTCGTCCGCTTATGGTTAAGTGCCTCCGTTTTACGGATCGAGACCGCCTGCTTGGTGAGGCGAGGAAAAGCCCTCCTGAGGCGAGCTACTGACATTTACTGCAGATTATAGTGAGCCCACAACAAGGCGTCGGAAGCCGTGCTATAAGATCATGTATGATGCCCGCTGCCTTGGATTCGAGGCCTTTCTTCTCTATCCAGCTACAATTAAACTTTCACGGGGGAAAGAAATGTATACGTTTCAAGAGGTGAGCGAGGCTGAAAAGTTCGTTGCTTCCCTGAAGGACTAAAACATTGGTTCGGAGGATAAAAGCTACGAAGGGTAAGACTGATCTAAGAACTCTATCTAAGCAATAGTTCCTAAGAGCTGCTCGAACCGCTGTGCTATATGGCGAAAAGTTCGTTGCTTCCCGGAAGGACTAAAACATTGGTTTGGAGGATAAAAGCTACGAAGGGTAAGACTGATCTAAGAACTCTATCTAAGCAATAGTTCCTAAGAGCTGCTCGAACCGCTGTGTTATATGGCGTCTTTCGTCTTCTTTTTCCTTTATCTGGATATGAGCTGTCCATATATATATATATTTTTTTTTTTTTTTTTTATTTAGGGCATATTTAGTGGACAGCAAGCTTTTATGTTAAGTGCTATGGTTAGAATGTCTTGAGAATAATATTAAAGCATATTAAGCATAAAGGCAACCTTATATTTGATCTGAGGGTGGGGCTGTGACTGTCTTCCAAGATGACTGGTATATTTTTTGGGAGGGTGGGCAGTCGTCTTTCTTTTTTGAGAGGACTCTGGATGGTCAAGGCTGAGTATTTTTTGTTTGTTCAGATGTTTGTTATTGTTTTTTTTTATTTGTTTTTTTGTTTTGTTTTTTTTTTTACTTTTTTTTGCCTGTATTATTGTTATTATTATTATTTTTATGATCATGTCTGTGTGGGTATGTATGGGGTATGTGTTGGGTGGGGGGATTCTGGATGCCGACCCGGACATTGTGCTATGAGACTTTATTTTTTTTTTGCTCTTGTCTGGTTCATTTATATTTATGTGCAAAATTACAATATGAATAAATATGAGTAGCCTACTATTAATGTTATGTCATGGAATGCACGGGGCCTTAATTCTCCCCAGAAGCGTATAAGCACCCTGAAGCTTCTTTACAGAAAGAATATTCATTTTGCTTTTATTCAAGAGTCGCATTTACTTGTAGCTGATGTACATAGATTCAAGAATAAACACTACCATGTGGTCGCTTCCTCATGCTATATTAAGAAGAGCAAAGGTGTTCTCATAGCTGCAAAATGTGACTTAAATTATACAATTCTGGGCACAGGGGGATCCGATGACGGTCGAATTACATTTTGCAAAATAGTGTATAATGGTATTAAAATTGCACTGATGAGCGTTTATGCTCCAAATTGCTTTGATCAGCACTTTTATAACTCATTGGCCTCTATTTTAATGGATCTTCCAGAGTTCCAGCTCTTGATAGGAGGCGACTTCAATGCTGTATGGCTTCATGATATTGATAGAACAGGGGCAGTAGAGAGCAGAGATCAGCGATTAGCATCTATTGCATTGAAGAAATTGTCTACTGATTTTGGAGTGATTGATACTTGGCGGATGATGAATCCTTCTTCTAGAGAATTTTCCTTTTTCTCATCTCGCCATAAATCTTTTTCTAGAATAGATTACATCTTCTCATCCAAAACTCTCTTCAATGTCATTTCCAGCACCGAAATGATCCCAATGGCTTTGTCCGATCATAGGATTGTCTCATGTAGTTTTTCATTAAAAGCTGCTCAATCCAGGGCAGTTCGTTGGCGTTTTAACACATCTCTGCTCCAGAACAATATTTTTATACGTGAGCTGGAGGCGGAGCTGGAGGAATTTATTAAAATAAATGGCCCTTCAGTTGATGACCCACGAGTGCTGTGGGATGCGGTTAAAGGGTGCATTAGGATTAAAACTATATCTTTTGCATCCCATATTAATACATCTAAAAAACATCAAATAAATTGCTTGGAATCAGAAATTGCAGCTCTTGAACAAGAAATTCTAAGCAATCCCTCTTCGGAAAATATCTGTAACCGACAGAAATTAGTCAATGAACTTAGCAGCTTGCTAATAAGGGAAGCAGAATTTAATATCCATCGTACTAGGCAAAATCACTACTGTAACAGTGCTCGTCCCGGCCGTCTGCTCGCTTATAAATTAAGGAAAAATGATGATCTAGCAAAGATACCAGCTATAGACGAATCCGACGAGCGTTCTGTGTAGGCTGCCATCTTGTGGCGACGCCATTACTGAGCTGTTACACAGGCATATAGACATATGCACCGGTATGTAAACAAACCTCGGTGATAACGCGAACTCACCCTCGATGACAGCTACAGCCAGGCAGAATGACTTGTTGGTTTGATCTGTGACTGCAGTGGCCTCCAGTCACAGATGAAGGTACAAATGATCTTACAGATTAACGTTATTTATGAAAATAGCTTGGCAAGCTAGCTAGGCTAACGTTTGCTAACGAGGAAACTATAAAAAGATCTGTCCATTTGGCAACAATAAATAAATAAATGAATGAAATCAAATAAACAAATTCATGTTTTTCATTTGTGTCCATTATTTATCTCATTTTCACATTGCAACAGGCAAGGGTAAGGTAACGTTACAGCTAGAAAGTATACATAATATCGACCAATTAGTGTTTTTAAACCATGGAAAGAGGTCAACTCAACAGGGGGATATAACATCTGACCCGGAATGCATCAATAGTACTTTTCAATTATTCTATCAAAATCTCTATACGTCAGAGGTGCATCATGATGATAAAGCCTGTTCTGAATTTTTTAAATCTTTACATCTACCTAAATTGCCTCCTGAGGCTGTTTGCTCCCTATAGAGGCACCAATTCAGTTAGAAGAATTGAGTTTAGCTATTAAGGCAATGAATAAAGGCAAGTCTCCGGGCCTGGATGGTATACCACCAGAACTGTTTGAGACTTATTGGCCTCAGCTTGGTCCTTTATTGTTGAATATGCTAAACTTCTCTATTGATAGAGGTTCTTTCTCTGCTAGCTCAAATGTTGCAATAATATCTCTATTACTTAAGAAGGACAAGCCACCGGGCGACTGCTCTTCCTATAGGCAACTAAGTCTTCTGAATTGTGAAGTCAAGCTATATGCAAAGGTTTTAGCTACACGCTTAGAACGATATATGACTTACTTGGTTCATCATGACCAAACTGGGTTCATCAAGTCTAGACTAGCATCGGATAATGTCCGTCGCTTGCTTCATATCATAGACTTTGCTTCCAGTTCAGAAGATCAAAATGCCATTGTCTCTTTAGATGCCGAGAA